GTGGAAGTGGGAGAGGAAGTGCGGGCGCGAGCGCTGGAGTATGCCGCGTGCTGCAGCGGGCGCCCGAAATACACCACGCGGCTAAGTGTTTTTGACCGCGCGCCCAACCCGTTATAGCCGTTTTTGCGCGCCCGCTGGAACAACCCGCCGCGTTGCGCGCGCGCTAAAACGGCCTAATTTGCGGCGCGGCGCTAGTTTAGCGCGGCTGTTGGAGATGCTCTCAGAAGCATACTCCGGCTTCACCACAAACAACCATCGCCAGGGCCCTTACCGCATCTACTACGAGAAGATTGCTTTGCCCTATGCCAAATAGTCGACCACGAGAGACAGTGAAGAAATAGCTCCGACTTAGATGATGATAAACCAACTTACTCCTTGTGACGCGCTCATTCAGAACTCATCGTAGCAATCACACATTCATTCATGACAGCTTTGATGTATCATTCACAGCAATCGCACATTCATAAGTCGGATCATTTCATCGCATATTTCATCACTTCAATCACTCAGAATAGTTCAAATCCACAACTATTAGTAAATTTGAATAAAACAGCCGGTAGCTAACACAATTAACTACAAAGATGATATATAATAACAGATCGATCCACTCTGGATCCATTGGAGACAATAAATAAAGTAAGCACAGGATGAAAATATATCTCAATCAGAAACCCTAAACCACGAGGAGACAGTGTAGCCTCGCAAGGCGAGACCGGCCAAACCGGCGGCCCCGACGGCGAGCAACAAGGCACCGGTGATGACCAGGAGGGCGACGTCCGCCCCCGTCAGGCCGGCCTGGAGGTAGGAGCCACCCAGGAAGAAGCAGCCTACCATTATGAAGGAGATGCCGATGAGAATGGTACGGACGACGTCGATTGTGAGCGGCCCATCAGAGTCCACGCTGCCGCCGGATTCCGGCTTCTCGCCGCTGCCTCCATGCTGGCCTTGGCCGTCCTCGAGATCCACGTCCTCGTACTCCCCCGCCGCCGATTCTTCGTCCTCCTCGGGTTGCTTCGACCGATAGTAGCTGCACCTGCAAAGAAGAAGAAAAAGCTTGGATTGGATCCATGGTGAAGCTTTGAAGCTAAGCTTCATGGATGACTCGATTGGGGTCTTTTCCGGGGGAAGAAAAGGGCGGAAGATTGTTTCGATCGATCAATCGATCTGTACCTGAAAATCTTCGTCATCGAAACGGGTCGCTGAGATCTTGCGATACGGCAAGACGCAAATTAATCAAGTTGTTGCGTACGTACGTGTTAAGTAACACGAGAGAAATAGGGACCGGAGCCTGTTGCGTTCCGCAACCTATACGTAGAGAGGAGTTTGGTCATTATCCGACTTGTGTTGTTATCCGTTTCAGTTTAGAGTTATGGCGCCCTATATGCATGCATGCATGCATCTGTCCATCAAGTTTTTCTTCTTCCGAAAAGATGTCCCATCACGTACATAGCCAGGTACTCATACATGCCTCCGCCCCCCTTCCCACGGCCCGTTTTCTTTCCCTCGGTGCTG